TTGCCTCTCTCTCCCCATAATTGACCTAGTACATCCAAATTCGTGTTTCTGACCCTCTCTGCAACACGTCGTAAACTTCACTGAGGCTTTTTTACTAAATGTGTCTACTCACAGGGCCCATGGAAAATCAAGTTGCCAATATAGTCTCAACATCTGCCCATACAATTCTTAAAACTTCATCGTTTTATCGGACGGCTTGATAAAACCAGCCAAACACATTTAACAGGAACTATTGTTTTTTTTACCACATCAGCCTGTTCAATCACAAAAAGGCGACTTACAAGCAACAGAGTCCGTTTACAAATTTTAGTAGGTACTTTATATTTTTTGTCACTACTCTTAGTAAGCTAACAACTGGAGTTATCTATGCCTTCTCAAAAACAGCGATGATCGAGAAACGTGACACACACTTTGTCCAAATTTGAAAGGTGCGGTACTATTCTGAGGAGTTGGAATAGAAAAGAGCGTTGAAGTTTTGTTGCGAATTATCTTGACTTCGTCTCGCCTAAGCTCAAGAGACTCATTAGATAGCCTCGCCCAGAGTTATTTTCTGCGAGGAGGCTCCATTTTGTCTACAGTGTCCGAAACCACCTAAAAAAGTTTTCCACAGCTCAAAATCCGTGGAACCACTCGTCGCAGGAATGTCCTTTCATTGTCGCGGTTTGCTGTGGTTGAAGGGATCTAAGGCAGACAAAATTGAAAAAATTATGTCGCGAAAAATAATTGTGATTTAATATCCTTAGTCGGGGGTGTAGTTTTCTATTCAGTTACAACAAGACATCTCATCGCGAAAAACCACCGTCAGTTAAAACACTTACCCAGCGGTGTGGTTTCCTATTCATTTGGGAGAGGGGGCTTCAGCCCCTCCCCTCTTTGGGCTTCATTCCCCAAACTTTGGGAAGAAAGTGTGTCAAATCTGGGGAAAAACCTATTTGTTGACACATTTTGAGGTAGGTCGGGGCATTTTCACTGTTCAGCCTCCCCCCCAACCATTTTGGGAAACTACATCCCTGCGCTTTCATCATGCGAGGGGGTTCTTTTTCGATCCAAAGCTTGGACCCGGCTTATGCCCCTTTTGTGGAGTTACGAAGCCAATGAATGATATTTTCCAACTGGGTGAGCGGAAGGGTCCCTTCATTTCTTCCCCCCCCCCCCCCCCCCAGCTTAGCCCCTCCCGCGGACGCCTGACCAGTGGACCGTCGGTGTGCTGGTGAGGCACGGTTGAAAATTATTGGGAAGTGATATTCATGGCCTGGTTTGTCGTTGTCCATTTACGTTCAAGCCTTTTTATTTTTTGGACTTGACGTTTTTGCTTTACTTTTGTCGTTTTAGCTTACTCAGCTTGACGGCTATCGTGGGCAGCTTGCATCCGTTGACTATTCCGCCTTGCCTTCTGGCTGCCAATTCCGTTTGACTTTATCGTTTTGTTGGCTTTTTTATTGTTTTTTGACGTTCTGGTGGTTTGGATTTTGCATTTGACGTTATCCATTTGACTTTTCATTTGGTTGTTTTGCTGCTTTTGACCTTTCTTCGGATTTTTGCCGGATATGTTTTTGTATATAGCTTGTTATACTTGCTTGACTTTTGTCACTTATCTTTTGTCATTTGACTTTTGGCCTTAAACTTTTTGTTTTTCGTAAACCCTTCTACGGGCCTCCAGATCGACCAGGAGATCCCACCCAGTGTCACCAGAATGACAGCCAGAAGACACTTCGCGATGGGACGAAATGGCCCTTGAGCCCCTGACCGGAAATGGTAATGTGTCCCTGGTGTTCTTATCAGGGGGCCCCTTGCCTGGAAGCAAACAATGGGTCTTAATATTGTCGAATAAAGTGGGAGTCCTATTATGTTGGATGAAGAGAGTCGAAATGAGTAAGAAAGTTATATTTGCAGAATAGATTTGAACAAATCACATCAAAAGGTTTGAACATGCGTTTGCCACCAGACGGCGTGCGCCGTGTTAACCTTTCTTCTGAACAGATTAATAGTTAAAACAACATGAAGAATAGAGATTCTTCCTTTACTCTTCCAGTTTCACCGCCAGATTCCAGTGCCACTGGGTCTTGATATAAGATTTGATGTCCTGAAGCGTGTAAAGGTACTTTTTTAAAGCGTCATCATATTCATCCGCCCGTTGACCACAGTTCAGCATTAGCTGCTAAGCTGGCGTGGCGCGGCCTGCGATGACTGCAACGCCTGGCGTCAAGGTTTTTGTTACTATAATTTGCGAGTGCGCATGCTCAAAACTACGTCACTGTTATAAGTAACAAACCGATTGTGCTTGTTTTTAAAG